CGGGCGAACGCAGCAGGCCTCAGGGCCGGGCGGAGACGCCGGAAGACCGGGCGCTGGGCTGCACACATTCTCCCTCCGGGTGCCGTTCCCGTCCCCCTTGGAGGCAGACATCGCCCGCGGATCCCTGGCCCCCGACGCGGAGCCTCACCGAGCGGCGGTGCGGAAGGAGCTCACAGTGAGCGGCGGCGTCCTGGCGGTGCGCTGGAGAGCTGAAGACTGTCGCCTGCTCCGGACTTCCGTCATCAACTTTCTGGACCAGCTTTCCCTGGTGATGCGGACCATGCAGCGCTTCGGGCCCCCTCTTTCCCGCTGAGGCTGGGCTGGGAAAAGGGGGCTGCGGCGCAGGTGGGACTCGGTCCTGGGTCGTGAACCTTCCCCCGGCAGGGGTTCCTGGTAGTTGCCGCTGCGTTATGGCGGGGCCCTGATCTTTTGCCTGTACTGGCCCTTGGGCACTGGTGGTGTCTTGTTTTGTTTGGTGCTCGAGTGTTTGTCCCTGCGGCAGTTAAAACTGAGCTACTAAAAATAAATAAGTAAATTATGTCCTGGCCCGTGTGGTTCAGCTGGTTGGGCGCCGTCCCCTGCGGAAAGGGTGTAGGTGCTATACCCCTGCAGGGCACGTGCCCGGGCTGCGGGCTGCATCACCAATAGGGCGAGTGCAGGGGGCAGCCATCCGTCTTTCGATCTGCTCCCACATCATGTTTCTCTTTCTCTTTCCCTTCCACTCTCTCTAAAAATAAATTTTAAAAAATCTTTTAAATAAGTAAAATAGGGTCCTCAGAAAATTCAATTAAATGTCATTTTTTTTCCAATTTATACAACACAAAATCCAATTTTGAATGTTATAAGCAATCTTATGAAAAGTTTAGAACATACTGAAAAAAATGCATTATTTACTCAGAGAAGGAGAAATACAGTCATAGACGTGAACAGATCCAAATAGGTGGAGCCAGGCAGGCAGGGTGTCAGGCCCCCATCCCCACTTCTTCCAGAGCAGCTCAGCTTCTGTTTGCCCACTAGATTTCCACGTAAGCTTTAATTTGAAGAAATGGTTCTCTCTCTAAAAATAAGCTTGAAAAACACTGCTGTGGGCAGTGTCAGGGACGAATTTTAAGCAGGGGAGTAATGATCAGTTTTGCATTTTTAAAAGTGACTTTGGCAACAAGGCAGGGTGAACACTTGTGAAAAGTAAGCACTGGGATCTGTGGGTTAGCACGAGCATAGAGGACTTAACTGTACTCAGATTCAATATCATGCCTTTGGCTTTAACCAAATACCAAAAAAATCATGTTTCAAAGCCCTGGGTGTGAGGATCTGCATGTTGAAGTATAATTAGAATTCCATGAAAAGTTCTGTTTCTTTGAACAACCTAATTTGATTTCAATTACAAATCAACAAGAACTCTATTACATAATGTAGTGGGGTTTTTTGATGTAGCTGCCTGGATGCTCAGAACTAAATTAAACAGCTGTAGAAACTAATTTTTTCTAGCTACTTGCAATACAAAATTTTCCTCTAATTTGTTTTTTGTTGTTTGTTTTGCCTTTTTTCTAAATTGTCATTTTGACTATCTTTTGGAAGTACTGAATCTAAAGCATAAATAATAATATAATGATTGCTAACATTATATAGGGTTTACATATGCCAGACAATGTTCTAGACTCTTTGTATATATATTAACTCATTAATCCTAACAAAAACTAAGTATGGAACTCTCCTTGGCTTTGGGATTAGTGAATTTATTTATAAAACACTGGAGACATCAAATAACATCTGTTTCCATTTATCACCAGTATAAGCTTAACTAATCATCAAAGCATTAAAATAGCCAATTTCAGAAAATAACGCCAGTGAACTAAAAATTGAATCATAGAAGTTACCTGTCAACTCTCATATATAAAACAAGTATAAAATAATGATATATAACAAGGTTGTTGGGAGTTCCAATGAGAAAATTAATGAAAAGTCATGTTGAAATTTTTTAATTGGTAAACAAATGTTAGTTATATTTAACAGTTTATTTAAAAAATAAGTTATCCTGAAAAAGAGACAATGAGTAGTTCTTTGTTATTATCTTACCCCTCTCATGTGTTTCATTGGCAAGTCAATCTTCACAGTAATTTGGTCACTTCTCAGCACCTCCGCCCTGGTCGGGAGACCATCATCTCACACCAGGACCATTGCCACAGTCTTCTAATAGGTGTCCTGCTTCACATTCTCTTCTCCTCCACACCGCAGTCAGTGATTCTTTAAAATACAGTGCAGATCATACCACTCCTCTGCTTAAAATTCTCTAAGAGTATTGATCTCTCAAAGATGTCCTAATCCCTAGCACCTGAGAACAAGTTCCCTTCCATGGCAAAGAGGTCTTTGCAGATGTGATTAAACTAAGGATCTTGAAATTATCCTTGGGGGGGGGATTATTCTTGATTTATCCAAGAGGAGATTACCCTTGACTTTCCAGGTGTAATCACAAGGGTCCTTAGAAGATGGAGGCAGGAGTGCAAAGTCAGGGGAGGTGTGACCCAGAAGGAGAGGGTTGAGTGGTGCCATTGCTAGAGGGGGGGCCCTGGGCCAAAGGATGCAGGCAGCCTCTAGAAGGTGAGAAAGTCTGGGAACAGATTCTTCCCTAAAATCCCAAGAAGGAAAGCAGCCCTGCCATCACTTTGATTTTAGCCCCATGTTACAGATTAAATTGGGTCTCCCCCCAAAAATATGTTGGAGCCCTACCCCCCAGTACTTCAGAATATGACCTTATTTGGAGATAGAGTCTTTACAGAGATAATTAGGTAAAATGAAGTCATTAGGGTAGATCCTATTTCAATATGACTGGTGTGTATATGAAAAGGGGACATTTGGACACAGATATGTGCACAGGGAGAACACCAGGTGAAGGCAAGGGCAGAGAGCATGGTGATGCCTCAACAAACAGGACTCCAGAGATCGCCAGCAAACCACCATAAGCTAGGGGAGAGGCATGGAACAGATTCTTCCTCACAGCCCTTGGAGGGAACCAAGCCTGCCAACATCTTGATCTCAGACTTTTAGCCTCCAGAAATGTGAGACAATAATTTTCTGTTGTTTAAGCACCCACTTGTGATACTTTCTTATGGCAGCCCTAGCCAACAAGTATATTCCATTAGACCCATTTTGAATGTCTGACCTCCAGAACTGTAAGACAATTAATTTGTACTGCTCTAAGCCACTAAGTGTGTGGCAATTGGTTACAGCAACAAATGGAAACTCATATCATCAAAGACTCCCGATCAGAAGCCCTGAATTCTGAAGTTCTCATCATAGCTTACCCTCTTCCAAACTGACACTTAATCTCTGACTTAATCTTCCTCTTCTCTTGCCCTCACTCCCTCTGTTCCAGCCCCACTGGCCGCCTTGCTTTTCTTTGGACACCTTTATTCATCCACCCCAGGGCCTTTGCATTTGCTGCTTCCTCTGACTGAAATGCTCTTTCTTCTCACATGCTCCCTAACTCCCTTCAGGTCCCTGATCATATGTCCCCTTGTCAGAGAGGCCTTCTCTCAACATCCTATATAAAATAGCATTCTCTGTCTCCTTTCTCTACTTTATTTCTTTTAGTACATCCTACCATTTGACATGTTATATACACTTGTTAATTTGTGATCATCATCTACCCTTGCCCCTATTATCAGGGAAGCTGGGGTATCCCTTTACCTACTGAGTGTTGGGGATGGAGTCCTTATAATATCTAGAGAAAAAAAGTAATCTGAGACTCCCACGGGAGGATGAGTGATTTTCATTTGTGTGGAATTACGTCCCTGGGTTTCCAAAGTCCCATTTCCCTTAATCCAGTTATAGAAGAAGTGCAACTGGAGTTTCAGTAGAGCTAGGAGCAAAGCCAGCGTGGAGAGTGTCCGTTCCATATTGCAGCCGGGTCCAGTTCAGCATCAGGCTAGTTACAGTCCAGTCCATTGTGTGTGGGGGTCCACATGGCTGTTGGCCGTGTGGGCAAATACCAGGAAGCAGGGGTGAGAGCCCCGCAAGCCAGGAGTCAAGCGCAACACGCCAAGAGCAACCAAGAGAGTGAACTCCTTTGTTTAGGGGATCAAATATCCCAAATTTCTAGCCCCTACAGTGCCTATGCCCATTCTGTCCAATAACATGTTCCCAGGTGTGACTGGGAAGCAAATACCTTCCTGATATCACCCCAACTTTACTGGGCAAGCGTCTATCTCCCCTTTGTTGGACCCCTGGAGAGTGTGAAGTTGTAGCTTCCTGGTGAAGCTGCCCAAATGACATGCCTATAATATTTGTCCTTCCCTTTGTTCCTTTCCTGTGGTTAATAACTAGTTAATTACAATGGTACCATTAGAACATAAGCACCTTGAGAGCGAAGAGTTGTTTGGTTCACTCCTGTGTCCTCACGGCCTACAACTGTGCCAGGCACGTAGGAAGCACTCAATACATCTTTGCGGACTGAATGAATTCAAAATTGCTGCTATATTCTGCCTCTAAAGATCTTTCCACTTAAACTGTTTCAGTATCTTTGTCTTTGAGAATATAAACAATGAAACCATAGGCTCTGGTCCATAAATCCAATATACTCACCCCATGTGACCCTCGTCAAAATAAATCGGAAGGAGATGAGCTCACCCGGGAGACAGCAGTAGAGATTTCCTGCAGAATTTCAAAACCTTTCAAACCAGATAGTCAAGATCACAAGGCAGACTGCTCCTGACCAGAGAAACCAGTCAAGACGTAATGACAGTTCTGGGCTTATAATTAATCGCAAAAGGCCAGCTGGGCAATTAAGCCTAGGTCTGGAACAAGATATTAAAATATTTTTCATGCAGTAATAAAAGGGGATAGGCTTTAGTTGTTTTTAAGGAATTTGAAGTTAATTATAGCTTTCAAAAGCTCTTCTGTTTCCAACTTTAAATTTTAACTAATAGAATGTGACTGTGGTTGCCAAAAAAAAAAAAAAAAAGGCACCGTCACAATAAAAGTTATAATATGAGGAGACAGGCTGGAGAATGCAGCTTGAAAGAAAACTGCTTCTCAATTCCATGCGCTTATGATTTTTTCCCCTTCAATTTAGAAGTCCGATCACACTCCACTTCTGAATATGGGTGAGGTTATAGGGCTTATGTTTTTGTCTTTGTTTTAACCATTAAGTCATCATCCTTTGTTTATTTGCATTACTATGTCCATCAGTTTAGGAGTTATAAAGCCAAACATAACCAGAGGAAGGAATGGATGTGTCCTTTCTTAAACAAGCTTAAATGAAGCATCTTCAGCTACTTTTCGCTGCTGGACACACATGGGTCCATCAACAGTAGAGAATAGACTCATCTTTCATCCTGGGACATGTTTCTAGACCCCTCAAATCCCCAAATCTGTAATTGCTGTCGTAAGAGGAGTGTGCTTATGCCATCCTAGCTACTCTCAGGAAGGAGGAGGGGCTAATCCGACTGGTAAGAATCCAGGATAATCAGTTGGATGTGTTTATTCAAGTGTTTAAATAGCCATTTGTGTGCCGATCTTTAGCTCCTGTTTGTTTCCACAGC